ATGCAGCTCACCTGGGAAAGACGCACCGGGAGAGATGTGGAGTTCCTGCACAGGTGAACTTGTTGATTTGTTGTTAATTTGAAACGTGCAAGAATGTAGCTTTTTGTCTCAGTGTCTCCAGACTGTAAGTTTGAGGTTTCGTTTTCTGTTAGTTTCACACCGAAGTCACCACGTTATTCAGTCGCTGCATCTCGACTTTCGCAATAACTTAATAATTAACTCAATCAAAACAAGACACCACTGACTAGTGACAAAGAGGAAGAGACCTCCAAACAGAAGTAATGTATTCCATTCGTTGTAGAATATAGCTCACATGATAACTCATCTGTTCATTGTGTTCTCTTGTTTTCCTGAGGTGAGGATGACTGCGTCACACGTGAATCAGAAATAGTAACAACAAAAGCCTCTGGAAAGTTCAATATTACGCAAAAAAGACGTCATCTTAAAGGGATATTTCAAGTGTTTTTAAAGTGAAGTTCTTCTCCACAGTCCCACTGACGTGTATGTCACCATAACAGCGTCGCCATTTTCTTTTGTACTAGTCAAATTAACCAGGTAAACAGCTCAGTACTACTCCTACATTTCTATGATGTTTGCCTTTTAAAGGGCTCATTATCTTAGGTTAGCATGCTAATGTACACAAACAAGGTCAGAGCTTTTCTCTATTTATTTTAAGTTTTATGGTTTCATTGTATTGCATTACGTATCAAAGTCTATATTTTGTACAGGCCTACCTGTATGAAGGCAGATCCTAACCCAGCCACCTCTACAGGAAAGAACTTTGAGTTTAAGTCAAGTCAGTTTATTTATAAAGCACTCTTTGAAAACAAAGTACAGCTGAATTACAAGACAATCTTAATGGTCAAACATACAAAAACTCAGTCATTGAGTTGAAAGCTCAGGAACAAGCTAGTAAGCGGTCATTGAGTTTTACCACAGACAGAAATATGAAACAAACAAGATATTAAAAACAGTGGGATTGTTCTTTAAGTGCCTTCGACCACTCGTCCTGAATCACGAGTATCAGATTTGTGCCATTAACTTATGACCTCATCACGACATACTTCAGACTGAGCACCATCGTCAGCAGCAGGAGGGGGCGGGGCCTGTGAGCGCCTCCATTCCTCTCCCTGACGACGGCCGCGGGGACGTCGTTGAACATCATCAATGAACGGCACGGCGTCCCGCTGTAGCACATGCAGTCGAAGTTGCGGTCAAAATAGTTGACGTCATCCTGCGAGAGGCCGCCACGCACGGTGAGCGGGCCCCAGTGGCGGCTCCCGCGGGGGAGCTGGCGCTCGATGCGGTAACGGCACGGGTCGAGGTGGAGGTAGACGTCGTCGTCCCAGCGCTTCCTCACGCAGCGACCTCGGCCCTGGCAGAGCGCCTCGCTACAGAGTCGCGTTGACGTGGAGACGTTCAAGATGTACGGGTTCATGACCTGCTCCAGGTGGTGTCGAGCGGCAAAGCAGGAGTCCTACAGGGAATTTTAGGTATAAAGTCAGTTAGCGGATGTCAAGTTACGTTGAAAAGAAATAAGCCCCGGAGTGATGCCACTTTCTACCTCCGTCTCAGTGACGTCCATGTCTCCCCAGGAGACGATGCCGGCAGCGCCGAGAGCAGCCGCTTCTCCGATGGTGTTCACGAGATCATACTGCAAAAAACAAACAAGAGACGGGCATCCAATCAGAGAAAAGCAGGAAATGGTGCTTCCACACGGTTGTGTTGACTGATAAACAGCGAAATCAAAAGAAACCGACCTACGAAAACTACAATCCTTTAAAAACAGCTAATTTTCACAAACAAAAAGGGTCACTTTTAACAATAATGGCCGAATTCTTGATAACAACCAATCTTAAGTGTTTCTCTCATGAAGCTGTACTTTGTTTC